ATTTTTATTTTATTGTTATTTTTTTGTCTTCAGAGTTTTATAAGTTTCATGATGTCATGAAAGGAAACATTTGGTTCTGTTTAGTGCTCTGAGCTGAGTGTTTGTTCAAATGTATAAGTGATAAAACTGAACGTCTGGATCTGTACATTTCAAAGTGTGAGGATGGATTTCCACTGGTCTTGTAGACATTAAAGGAAACTAAAAGTTTCTGGAGCTGGAAGAGAAGAAACAACAGCCTTTGTGTTTCAGGTTGTGTAAAAGTGTACATTCTAAATCTATAAGTGTTTATTTTTCTACAGCCGAGTATCAGAGCTCAGACTGAGGACAAACATCTCTGTGCAGCTTCATGTTTATCTTCATGGAAATACTTGTCTCATGTTTTTTAATTAAAATATAAATGAACGTGTGCAGTTTTTCATCAAAATGYTGAATGAAGGTTTGGTTGATCTGATCACATAACTCTTTAATCAAATAAACAGAAAACAAACAGTAAAAATATAAAGTAGGATTTTTCAAATGAACATATTATTCAGAGTTTTACGATAAGATCTTATTTTAAACTAGGATAAACTCAGCTGTTTTTAATCCACAAGCCACAAGTCGACATAAACTTCCAGGATAATTTAGATCCACAGCCCTTCAAGGCCATGTAGGAGAGCCAAATCTGTAATCAGTTGTTTGGGAACAGAAGAAAATGCTTTTGGTCAGGCAGACAATAATTTTCCTTCTGCATTAATGTACGCTGGTACCTCTCAATGTGGTGACTCCAATCAGACAAACAGTGTGGGTAATCCCGCCGAGCTGAGCTATCAGCTTCTCCAAGATCAATTCCATCTGGCCAGTGAAGTCCAGGGACCACTGCCGGCCTGCGACCCTCAGCTAGAACCGGTTGCAGACCGAGTCTGGCTCGTGCAAGGCAAAAGTCTGAGTGCTGATAGAACGGCAATCCTTCATATTGGTCAGGCAGCCAGGAAATGGCCTGAATAGCCACCGACATTGTTTTGCAGAACACCAGGAGACCACCAAGCCAATCTGCAGAACGCAGTGATCAGAATCCAAATATAAATC